CCTGCTTCTCCCTCTCCCACTCCCTCTGCTTGTGTTCCCTCTTGCTGTGTCTCTTGCTGTCAAATAAATAAATAATCTTATAAAAAAAAAAAACCTTTAAAAAAAAAGAAAGGAAAGGGATTATGATCTGTGGAGAACAAGCCAATAGTCTACCACCTAGTAACTAATCCTCCCACACCTGAGCCTTTTCCAGTGTCAGGGAAAGTCAATACTTTCATTATCTGCAGACTTAACAATCAGTTAAAACTCACTAAATGTACTACCAAATGCTTACACATAGAAAAGAGTTAAGAAGGAATAACCCCGGGGTGTCTGGGTGGCTCAGTTGGTTAAGCATCTGCCTTCAGCTCAGGTCATGATCCCAGGGTCCTGGGATCAAGCCCTGCATCAGGCTCCCTTTTTGGCCGGGAGCCTGCTTCTTCCTCTCCCTCTGGGCCCGCCCCCACTTGTGATCTCTCTCTGTCAAATAAATAAATTTCTTTAAAAAAGGAATAACCCCTTCTAAGCAAAACGATAAAGCAAATACTATGCTATTACTACATTCTAACTGCTGACCCTTGTGATTTTTGATAAACACACTGGGGGAAGAGGGGCGTGGAGACCATGGCTTTATAAACCAAGAGGTTCTTTTACAAAAATGCACATTCTCTGGGGGCGCCTGGGTGGCCCAGTAGGTTGAACATCTGAGTCTTGATTTTAGCTCAGGTCATGATTTCGGGGTCGTGAGGTCAACCCCCCCAACAGGATATGCACTCTTGTCCCACCCTCTCCCTCTGCTCCTCCCCACGTGTGCGCACACATGTGCATGCACGCACACACGTGTTCCCTCGCTCTCAAATAAAAATTTTTAAAAATAATAAAAATTAAAATAAAATGCACATTCTCTGTACCCTGACATAAAGAGGCTCTGAGATCTTGGATCAGTCTGTTCTATGAAGCTTCAAAGAATGAACAGAAGCGATGACTGAGAACCAGTACTTGGAAAGCTCAAACACTGTGTGAAACCAAAGCCATTACTTCAGGATACAGCCTCTTGGGGTGCTAGTCAACAAAGAATACTGAGTAGCAGTAGAGGTTCACTCAGCTCAGTATTTAGCATACTGTAAGTTCAAAACATGGCCTGGGGAAAAAATTTGCTGAAGAAATGTGATGATGGAGTAAAAAACAAGAAAGAGAGCCAGTTAAAAAGACAGAGGAAAGGCCAGACTTGAGAACCATTCAGGAGGTAAAATAAACAGCTAATGGAGTACTGTTCTTCAGGTCTTAATGAAAGAGTAAAAGACACAGGAGGCTTCTCTTCCAGGTATCCCTAACCAGTGCCTAGGGTGCTGCTGTCACCTCCTCCTCAGACACCAGCCCAGGCTAGAGACCAGATGTCATGCATATCCCAGCTTTTACTACCAGCAATGTTGAAGAGGCAGTAGGTATATTACAGAGCGGTGTCAGAGAAACCCAGGTTAAAGGCACCAGTTAACTGGAATAAATTATTTACCTTCTCCTCATCTGGGGTAATGACATCTACACATCAGGTGCAGTAAGGGTTCACACAGCACATGACCCAGCAACATAGTAAGTACTTAATAATCTAGCACAATACAAACAAATCCTACATAGATGTGAAACTTATTTTACAGTGTCTCTTCTGAAAACACTAGTCTTTATTTTATTTTATTTATTTGAGAGAAAATGAGCAGGGGGAAGGGCAGAGGGAGAAGCAGATTCCCGGCTGATCAGGGAGCAGTATGTGGGGCTCGATCCCAGGACCCTGAGACCATGACCCAAGCTGACAGCAGCCGCTTAACTGACTGGGCCACTCAGGTGCCCCTGAAAACACTAGTCTTATTGCAGCTCCAGCCCATTTGAAAACCCCAGTAGGTGAGACTGCCCGGTATACAGCACTATGTTGGTTCTCATACAGACAACCCATGTTCCACTTAGGGAGAGCCTGTTTTTCTTTCCAATATGTGTGTAACATCTTCCACCATAATATGTGCTATTTGGTTTCTAAACAAATAAAACTGCTTTTGGAGAGCTCATCTCTTCAGACAGCAGCTGGGATACTGTACAGTTTTACCCAAAAGTTAAGTAAAAAATTGGCCCCAAGCCCAGAAAATAGGCATTTCTATCCAGACAAAACTGGATAAACCAAGTCTACAAACAATGAGTGAATAAAACAGTAGAGGAGAGAAGAACACGGAACAGTGAGAATAACCCACACCAAAAGGCCCACTCACTGAAGAAGGGAACCAAACAGGGCTCTGGAATGTATTAGTTCAGATCTGCAGCCATCAGGTGAGGCAAAAGTTACCAAGTGTAAGACACTGAAGTTACTAGATGAAAAATATCCAGGACAGAGATATTCTCCCTTTAAGCTAGAAATAAGATTTACGTAAGTAGTAAGAACCAAATGTTCTACCCACATGAAGATTCAAGATTCTTTATGAGAAGCTAGATAGCTTGAGAGACAACCTGGGAAAGGAAGACTATCAGCTGATACAAAATTTAAACATATTAAATGTGAAAGAATAACAGTTTCAACTTCAATAGGCTATTTTATTGATGCTGCTACTGTTTCACAGATATGATTTCTCATAAGTAATGCATTGATTTTATACCTCACAAAGGCATTCTTTGCTACTTTCACTTAT